AAAATGACAAAAAGGCTCGATTGCGAATTCAACACACATGCCTTAGCGCCAAAACGTGCGAGAAGTGTTCCGGCTCTTTCTGGCGCTTTTGGGCTTTTTTGGGCTTTTTTGGGCTTTTTTCGGGCTTTTTTCGGGCTTTTTTGGGCTTTTTTGGGCTTCTTTGGGCTTTTTTCGGCGAAGTATGACGGGTCCCTTAAGGTACCGTCCGAAAGAGTAAAGCAAGTTTCTATAAGGAGGCTTGTAAGGGTGTGCACAGCCTTCAGTACAACTCGAAAACTAAGATGTTTTGGATGCTCAATAATCCCTTTCCAGCGGTATCTAGCATAAAAACCGATTTAACAACAGCACATATGATTGTCTTATGTAGAGTGTACATACGCGAGCGAGGTCCGAGGAGGTCCGATAAGTTTTCTTTGAACGAAGATAAGATTTATTTTGGATTTTTCGGGTATTTGAAAACCTTAAAAATCGGCTTGTAACTCGAGTTGTACTGAAGCTGGTACAACTCTGACAAGCCATCTTATGGAGCTTGCTTTGCTCTATCGAACAGTATCCTGCATCCCAACCAAAATTGCGGAGTGTACGACACTGCTGTAAAACTTCAAAATTGGAAAAAAATGAGACTACCTGACACTATTAGGTTCGCACATATCTGCAACTTTGTACATAACTTTCTCTTAAAAAATGAGTGGCATCCAAAGTTTCGCATTTTACAACACAAAACAGAAAGTGTGCTACAAATCTATGCAAATTCTTTGAATGATAAAATGGGAAACTTAGGTCTTTTCTTAAGTGGTCAAAGTCAATGTTTCACGTTTGTTCAACAAAAACGAGGCCGTACACAAAACGAGTCTGAATTGAGCCGGAACCGTAAAAAATTACATAAGAGGTTGGCTACTAAGCTCAGCGAGAAAAGATCTGTAAGTTGAAGACAAATCGAAATCTGAGGTTCTCAAGAAGTCGAATGAGAAAACTCCTTGAAGACACCGTCCACCCAGATCTTCGGCTTCCATGTTTCTGTCCTTTCGGGGCCTTCTCATGTCTCTGATTCCGAATATCAAGTGAGAATTCGCAAAACCCTGCCAAACCCCCTTTCGGAGAACCCGCAGGGCGAGTTTTGCGGAATAGTGATTGGTTAGGTGCGCTTAAATGGGTGGGACGAACGTCACGCCCACTGGAAGGGGAGGAGTTAACGTGGCGAATCCGTCATCCAAAGCGATTTTTGAAGCAATTTTCTTGCTTCGGAGGCAACTTCTGGCAGCGCGAGTTGGGCAAGTATACAGCTGAAGGCCCTACTACTGTTTGGCATCAAAACAAATGTATCAAAGGATCAAAGGCATCAAATGTTATCGACCGCATTTTGGGTGGATGCTTTACGTCGCCTTAAAGATCTGGTGGCTAGAAACTTAAACCTTCAAATCTTGACGAAACTGATCACAGTAGTGGTAGTTTAACATTCTATAATAAATACCAATGTCGTATTCAATTGCTGTGAGATTGAAAAATCAAAACATGTGAATGTTTGAATCGGATTTCCGCAGCAAATCAAGCCTATCAAGCAAAATATGTATCTTGTAATCAGCATGTCCATAATCCCCCTCCACCCCCACCCTGAATAAACTTCAATCGATTCTGTGACAATTCTTCTTTACCCTTTAAGAATTGCCTTATCATAATTCTCAAATGCGATGATAGAATTCGGCAAAAATGGCTGCATTCGAAGATTATATGATAACCCTAATTCCAAAGAATGATTGCGCCATATTTAAGACAAAAGTTAAGAGAAAGAGTTGCAAAATTTTATTACAACCTAATATTCTTCACTGAAAAGGTGAAGAAAAGCTGCGTAGAATGATTAATGTCTCTTTCGCTTCTATCCTTTCCGCACATGTTTTTATGGTTTGTCAAAAACGGCAAGGACTTTCTCGACCTCTTTGCGAATACTTTGCAAAGCATGGAAAAGATCTAAATGCAGGACCAGTTTTGGAGATAATGTTGGATGTTTGTGAAATGCTGTGGCAGCACAAACTAAAGTGCGATGGTTATTGCACATATAGGGCTTATCAAATTGAGTGTCGTTTGCACCAGCATCTCCATCTTCGCGCTGGGCTCTGCGTCGCTTCTGCGGTACTTGCTCCTTAATCACTTCCAATCGATTGATGCTCCGCCTTTCCCACGCTCGCCCTGAGAAAGCGCTCAGAGAGCAGCCCGGCGGAAGAGACGCGGAGTCCAGCGCGAAGATGGAGATGCCGGCGCAAACGACACTCAAGTTGATAAGCCCTATAAATCCCTAAGCTTTGGATGCCTGTTGCAAACAAGTGCATAAATACTGTTACCAATACTTTTACATGAATACTGAGGAAAAAGGAGCGATGCTAAAGAAACAAAGTACAGCTGCAGCATTTATGCTTTTCAAAGACATATGTGGACTGTGAAAAATTGCTACTAATATTATGAAAATCAGCAATAACCTTTTGTTTCGTTTTCGATCGTTTTTGAATGTTGAACGAGGTAGAGTGAAGAACCACAAGATACTGCAGATTTACAGTATGAAATCTTATCTACACAAAGTTATAACAAAAATTTCGATGATTTAAAGCAGCAAACTGAAATGTGCTCGATTGTTCAATAAGCAAAGGTCAGTTCTGCACTTATGATATTATAGAGTACTTCAGTTTGAAACACACAAATCACTTTGCTGAACGGCTACAAAAAATGAACGCACTTCTTGAGCCTCGGTTTAGCTGTCCAACATCATAATGTAGCAGTCATACTTTTCGTAAAGGCACCGTCTACCCCAAGTTGAGGTTGTTGACCTTTCGGCAGCATATAACAATAGGGTCTCCTATCAAGCCGATGCCCAAGTCGCGGCGCATTATGCCGCTTCGGAAGCGAGAAAATCGCTTCGGAATAGCGAAGATGCTCGAGGACCCCCATCCATGCCCGCCCATTTGTGCGCGCTCATCCACTCACTGTTCTAAAAAGCCGGTTTGTGGGTTCTCCGAAATGGGGATTGTCGGAATGGGGTTTTCGCGGACTCGACTTCATATTTAGAATCAGGGACGTGAGAAGGCCCTGGAACTACAGAAATCCGGAAGTCGAGAATCTGGGTGAACGGTGCCTTCCAGTAGTCCCTAAAACAAAATCGCATATGCCTTTTCATGTGTATCAGCGCTTCTAATGGATTTACTACTGCAGGGCTACTAGGGTGAGGATATGCGCTCGAATCGTTCGTGCCCGCTCAACTAATGTTGCTTTTGCGCCATAGCCAAAGCTTGGCAGTAGCCTATACATCAAACTTTCTATCAAAAAGAGTATCAAAATGATTTTGTCACAAGCAGAATATTGAAAATCACCTGAAAAAGCAAGATAACAAACAAAGAATCGCGTCATTTCGCTTCAGCTGCTAATGTTGAAATGTGCTAGCCGACACAGATTTTGGGCGTGCACGAGCTATAGTTTTGAGAAGCATAATCATTCGTTAAAATCTTTGTAAGCCTGTTATATCCTCCACTTACATTTTCCTCAATCAATGATTGCCATTCCCACAATCACGGATAGTATAAATGATAGCATAGGTGAGCCACCTGAAAAGTCAAAATTGGAAATCTATTCCTGCAAACGCTGCTACTCAAAACTTTTGAAGACTTGAGGGTCATCACTACATAGCTTGGTGCATTTTTCAAGAGTTACAAGTGATTTGGAAAATCAGAGAGATTGCATTTTTTGAGCCTACTTCAGCCAATCATGCGTTTGAATATGTTCAAAGTTTCCTGATTTTTATGAATGTCAAAATTCTGCGAGTATTAGCTTACCAAAGCTCCACAAATCGTACTGGTGTCTTGCGCTAGTGTCTTCAGAGAATTTTTCAGTTGCTGCAATTTAAGTTCAACATTCAACTCCAGCGATCGTGAAAGGACTGTCGGACAATGGCGTGTGTGCAATTCTTTTTGATCATGCTTTTCGTACCCAAAGAGCTTCCTTTTGGAAGTTGGAGTATCGAAGCTCGACCACATCTTCGTGTAAGTGAAAGCACGAAATTATGAGAAACAACATGTACAATTCTACAGTCCAATAAGACCGATGACGTCAAGAAATCTCTTGATCGCTAAGGTACAGGAAAAGTTCACGCTAAATCCACCAAAATTGCACTTTTTTATTTTCGTTATTTTCACTATGTTTCTCACAGCTTTTGTTTTTTGTTAAAAAGAAACAGCTGTGTCATCAAAATTGCGATTGTTTCTTTGAAATAGCTTCACAGATTAGGATGACACAGCATTCGCACTATCCGGAGAGATGATGAACGTTGTTTAGGCCAACGGTTAAAAGGCAATACGTATGCCACGCTTTACACTGAAAATGTATCTCCTCGTAGTGGTAAGTGCCTCTTTCCTAAATTTCTTCAAACGTAAAAAAAGATGTTTCCAGCTTTCGATTGTTACAGCGTCGTATGCAGGTATGCATTACATTTTCAAAGCACTTGGACAAAAAACCGAATTTTAAGCAATTTGCCCGACGGACATCAATGGCATGAATGATAGCATACGTCAGAAATTTTTGGACGTTCATAACGAGTTGAGGTAAGTGGTGTACAAGAAAAAACAAACATTCGCGATTCAATTCTTCTTCGCATCTTGTGTAAACTTGTTTCTAAAGAGCACTGGTAGCTTCTGGGAAAGCTAAAGACGGACTTGGAGGTTATGCACCACAAGCAGCGGCCATGCCTATGCTGGTATTATTATCACTCAAGGAAAGTCGCAAAGAATTACAACCATTATTGCAGACGTATGACTGCAAAATTGAAAAGTACGCAATTGTTCACGCTGCTAAGTGTCAATTCAAGTATTCGAACGTTTTATGGAGACCGAACGCGGGGGAAAACATTTACGTGGGAAGCTCTGCGGCCGATAAAGTCAAGGCTGCCGAAGAAGTAAGGTGTATAACGTGTTCTTTTCAAAACAAAAAAGCCCGTCCAGGCATCAAGAACGTGGTTCAAAGAGCTCGAACATGGCGTGGGGACTAACCTTACGTTGGATTTAGCAATGATTAACAGAGGAATTGGCAACTACACGCAGGTTGGTTCATTGCTATACTAGCGATGCTTTTCATAATCGATGTAATGGCCCAATCGATAAACTACGATCCGATTTTGACTGATTATCTCTCGCTTCAGATGGTATGGCAGTCTACAAAAGCTATTGGTTGTGCGGTACAAAACTGTGGTGGGATGTCCTTCGTTGTCTGCAATTACAATCCAAGGTAAATGAACGCTCGTGGTTAGCTCCTTTAATAAAGCAGAATTTTAGCGGCAACAAAGTTTACAATAAGATATACGAAGCGGGAACTCCATGTTCGAAGTGTTCTGGTGCTTGCTCCAACAATCTTTGCGTTAGTGGGTCTAATGCAGCAGCTACTAATGCTCCAACTAAACCAACAACGATGGCAACAACAACAAAAGGTATAAATGATATCGCCAAGACTTCGATAATAGCTTAATAAAATGCACATAAATGCATACCGACAGGTACACCTGAAAAGACTCCTGCAGCGCCTGCAACAGGTTTTGAGAAGCAAAATCCAGATCTTTGCTCGTCCAGTGGCGGTATGACCGATAATGTGCGTGAGACATTCCTAAACACTCATAACGAGTTGAGGTAAATTTTGTTATCAGAAAAACCGTTACTTACTGCCCTTGCAACTTGAGTGAACTCATCATTATAGAGCGTTGGTAGCTGCTGGAAAAGCTAAAGACGGACTTGGAGGTTATGCGCCACAAGCTGCTGCCATGCCTAAGCTGGTATAGTTGTTTGTCAGGTACGAAGGAAAGTGGTGGTGACAAACTTTTATTGCAGACGTACGACTGCGAAGTTGAGAGGTATGCCGTAGCCCATGCAGCCAAATGTCAATTCAAGCATTCGGACAAAATATCGAGAGCTAATACCGGAGAAAACATTTACATGAGAAGTCCTCCTTACAGTAAAGCCAAGGCCGCCGAAGACGTAAGTCAAACGACATTCTTTTTTCAAAGCAAAAATTAGTTTGTATAGGCTTCAAGAGCATGGTTCAAAGAGCTAGAAAAATTCGGCGTGGGAAACAACTTAACATTGGACACAGCATTATTGAGCAGGGGTGTTGGGCATTACACGCAAGTTTGTACTTCAGACTGTACAGGCTACAGTCGCTGTAATAACCTCTTGCTTCAGATGGTATGGCAGAAGACAAAAGCTATTGGTTGTGCGGTTGCAGACTGCAATGCTATGTCTTTCGTTGTCTGCAATTATAAAGAAGCGTGAGTTGGGATGCCCATGTAACATTTAGACCACTTTAGACAAATCGGAGATTCAGAGGAAACATGCTTTATGGTAAGATCTACGAGATAGGAAAACCATGCACAAAGTGTCCTGGTAGTTGTTCCAACAATCTTTGCATCACTGGATCAAGTGCTCCTGCGACCACTAATATGCAAACGACTAAAACAGCAAAAACAACAACAACTACCAAACCAATAAAGACAACAACAACTACCAAACCAATAAAGACAACAACAACTACCAAACCAATAACGACAACAGCAACCAAGCCAACGACGACAACGATGACGAAAATAACAAGTATCAATAGGACTTCAGCTTTTCCAACAAAAGTAGATAAGACTAAGGATGTTCAACATGGCAGGTACTACTAAGGCTTCTACAACAACGAGAAGGACAACACCTACAAATAAGCCAACGACTAAGCCAACACCTACAAAGAAGGTTGAAAAAGCTACACCAACAACGACTCCAAAAAGAACAACAACAACAACAACAACAACAACAAGGACAACAACGAAAGCAACAACCACAACAACAAAACCAACAAGTAATAAGCAAACTTTATTACTTTGGAGACAGTAGTGTTGTGCTTTAATGACCTTGTTATTAGCTACGACTACGAAGGCATCCACATCAACTACAACAGGTTTTGAAAAGCAAAACCCGAAACTTTGTCCGTCCAATAACGGTATGACTGATGAAATGCGCCAGAAATTTTTGGATACACACAATAAGCTTAGGTTGGTCCAATTTCGCACTTTCACCGAAACCTCTCACAATTCACGTTCTCCACTTAGATCGTTGGCAGCCTCTGGAAAAGCTCCAGACGGCCTTGGAGGATATGCACCCCAAGCAGCAGCAATGTTAAAACTGGTACAGTTTCTTCTCAGCGGATTCAATTAGCGGTAGATAACTTGTTGTAGAAGTACGACTGCCAAATGGAAAAATATGCAACAAGTCACGTTAGTAAATGTGTATGGGGACACTCTAAAAAAGAAACTAGACCTTCTGCTGGTGAAAACCTATTCAGAAGAAGCCCACCATATAAAGACACTGCAAGTGATCAAGTCAAAGCAGCGCAGCAAGTAAGTCCTTGCACTTAGATTTCCTTCGAAGAAAGAAACATGACTCAGAGGAGTTTTTGAGGGAACGGAGTCATGGTTCACTGAGCTGTCTGCCTATGGTGTCGGGCAAAACCTCACGTTGACCGATGAAATGCTGAATAGAGGTGTCGGACATTACACGCAGGTGCATCATATTTTTGTGTACAGAAAACAAAGCCGTAAGCTGCCAAGCTTATCAACAGACAAACGTCCCATCATCCATATAAATTAAGGTGGTATGGCAGAACACTAAGGTCGTTGGCTGCGCTATCAACAACTGCGGAAGCTTCACTTATGTCGCCTGCAATTATGGAGAATCGTAAGTAGAAAGCGCTACCTACTGTCTTTACCATTCTCTTGCGTACGAGCACAATTTTTAGAGGCAACTGGAAAAACGAAACCATTTATGAGAAAGGAGCTCCGTGTTCGAAGTGTCCTAAAAGTTCTACCTGCTCGGATAATCTGTGCGTTCTCAGATAAGGCAGAACAACTTGCAAAATGAATTTGCAGTGGAATTTATAATCACATCAGTTGTAATTGCGCTTACGCAAATGACGACAGTGAAGGTAGGTGTACTAAACCTTAAGTAAAACAGTCGATCTGCTATTTCTTTCTGTAGTGAAAAATGCAAGTTAGGAAGATGATAGCTCAGAAGCTAACTAGTAGCTGTTTCGTTTTCTCTGGGCATGCTTGCAGGATTACTTCTTCTGATGTAAAGTTAAGGTAACTAACGAATGACATCTATCAGGACGAGATCTTCAGAGCTAGATATAAACAAGTTCAATGAATAAGACATCTTAGTCCAAGTATTAGATATATTAGGTCGGTGCAAAAGTTTTGTCAATTTTTTCAATCCATCGGCAAACACGCTAGAATGAAGATAAGCGAACGCTTCAAAATATGTCCGATGCAGAATTTCTTCCTCTTTCCAGCTGCGAAACTCTCATTGTGCTTAGTTGAGAGAGTGATGAGAAATTGCAACCACTCGTTTTTACCATGTCCAAGTTTCGCTAATTTTCAATATTTTTGTATGCGATTTTTGGAGAAGCTTCAATGACCAGCAGATAGGGCAAACCTTTTGCTAACAAAATCAGTTTTTTGTAGCCCTGCGGCTTGTCTTTCAGAATTTCTACGATTTATTTTTTGAAGCGACTAAATTTTACATTCAGCCTGTTTTAACCTCGTAGAACATGAAATGTTGAGCACTTCAGTCACTATTCGATTCAGCTTTTTCTCCCCCTTCTAACGCTTGTCTTTTTTTGCAGAAACAGGCGAAATCTGTGGGGAAAATAGCAATATTTCTCAATTTTAGGAGTGCGCACCGACATAACCTATGCTTCAGAATCGTCATAATTTGCAGCGAAAATCGCTCATTTACTTTATAATGGTAGCGGTAGTAATAATCGAGTGTTGAAAACTGAGTATTCTGCGGTTTTTGCAGTGTTTGATGCAATAACAGGTTATGCGATTCTTCCAAAACACAAGACTTTTAGAAAATTTATTAGCAAAAATCTGAAAAAGCAGATGAAAGAAAGTAAAAAGTTGCATAAGTTGGCAAAAGGTTTGTCCTATCTGGTGGTTACTAGGGCTCCCCCAAAAGTCTCACATAAAAATTTTGAAAATTAGTGAAATTGGACATGGTAAAAACGAGTAGTTGTAATTTTCAGCATATATCTCGTCACTCTCGCAACGAAACACAATGGCAGTTTAGCAGCAGGAAAGAGGAAGAAATTCTGCATCGGATACATTTTGAATTGCTACTTTATCTTCATTCTGACGTGTTTGGCGATGGATTGACACCGACCTAATAGATTCAACAGCCAAGCTCTTGAGCCGCAATTTTGCATACCACACATTTCAGAATTGGTTCCTGTACAGAGACGGTTCGACAAGCACCTCCTACAGAAATTGCACTGAACAGATCCGCATGTCTTCTGGTTGCAAAAATGCATCGATTTTTGGACTTTTTGCAAAGTCAATAGTTTGTTGGATATGTAAAGCTGCAAGCCATGGATTTAAATCAAAGATCAGAAAGTTTATTTCCTGCGAAAAGGACGTCAGGGAATGGTTGCGTAAATCATCGCCATCCAACTGCTTCCTGAGCAACTGCAAAAAAAGATTACCTAGACCTATAGTTTACAATGGTCATTCTCCTCTATTGAAACTTTCAAACCGAAATCAGTTCGGCAACCGATTCAAACTCGCCTTTGTATTTCCACACATTTCTCCTCTCACAGTTAGGTCTATGGAAAAGCTATTGGAATGAGGTATTGTTTGGTATTCACTGACGGTCAGCACTGTGCAGTGGCTTTTAAGGCCATCAGTATGGGAACACAAAAGAACGGAGATGGTAGAACCGATGCGGACCTCTGGAAAGCATACCTGACACACTGGTTGCTATATGCCGACTTGACTCAAAAACTTATACAAGTGAGAGTGGGGGGGGGGGCTGTAAACTGTAAAAGAATCACATACTGGCAAAAACAAGTGAGAGTGATTTGGTGAAACCATCAATCTAACTTTTGCCAGCAGCTTCACAATATTTTCCAATGAAATTAGGGGACTTCAATCGCTAACAAGAATATAGGCGATTTTTAGCTTATTCCAGACTTAACAAAGAGGTGACCTCTAATCCTTAACGCCATCAGATTGTTAGGCTCCCGCCAGAGTGCCGAAGTTATGCCAGCGCTACGCCAGCATTTCGATCGATACACGTGTATTTCGTTGGGCGGGGCTAGCTGACGTCCCCAACGAAATACACATGTATCGATCGAAATGCTGGCGTAGCGCTGGCATAACTTCGGCACTCTGGCGGGAGCCTTATTGTTTCAAATGAAAAAACAAAAGTGCTTTCTCATTTTGAACTATGATGTAACGGTTTCACATCTGCGTCCCAAACAATGAAGTGTCGTTCTAGTCAGCATATGGTATGATGAAACAATGGTTTAGAGTGGTGTGTCTTTCAAGTTTAGTTCAGAATTTGAAACAATCACACTTGACCATGGCTTACTTGTTTCTTCTCAAAATCCACAAGACCGATCGAACTGAGAGGCTGATAGAGGTCACCTGATATAATCAATAGTGAACCATCACATCGGTTGTTTGACCAACGAGTGATCTACTGCCATTGATATTGTTGTGTGAACTCGATACCGCACACTATAAGTAGCACGACTCACTGAGCAGAACTCAGCGGGCAGAACTCAGTGATGTCCGTCACACTGATCTAGTGCGGAC